AAAAGGTGAAGGGAAATAAGAGGTACAGACTTCCAGCTACAAAATAAACAAGCGACAGGGTACAGCACAAGGAATAGAGCCAATTATATCATAATACCTTTGTATGATTAAAGATGGTTAATAGATGTATCGTGGATCACATCGTAAGGTGTATAAATGTCAAATGACTATGTTGTACATGTGACACTAATATTTGTATGTGAACTATAATTATTTTTTTAAAAAAGAAACACATTTGTTTTAATTTTTTCTTAAAATTATGTGCCAAGGATACAGGGCTGTGAAGTAAAAAGGACAGAGACTTTGAAATGAGATGAACTGGGATGTAAAATGGGCGCCTCTTCTTTCTGGCTCTATTAACCTGAGCAAGTAATTTTATTTATTTTAGCTTCCATGTCTTAAACTGTAAAATAGGACAAATAATATACCCCTAGGTGGTTGTGGAAGTTAAGTAAGGTAGCATGTGCTGGTATAGTCTGGCATGTCATAGACAATCAAAATCCAAAGGTTTCATTACTGTCATTGTTACAGTCCTCATAACAGTGTCAGAATGTTTCCCTACTCCTTTGCAGCTAGGTGACTGTACCTACTCTCCCTACAGTATCCAGGATTCCTACAACCTGGGAAACCCAGGAGGCTTGCTTAGTATTAATAGCGTCTTGAAAGTACCTTCATCTTGTTCAAAGCACAATCTATTTTTTTTAATCTACACAAAGCATCTTTATTTATTTACCTATAATATTTTCTTCTGAATTACCTTGCTTTGTTACTTTCCTAGAGCTAATATAACAAATTCCTACAAGCTGGGTGGCTGAAAACATTTATTCTCTTTGTTGTAGAGGCCAGAAGTCTGAAGTCAAGGAGTAGTAGGCAGGATCAAGCTCTCTTTCTGGCCCTATGGGAGAATCTTGGGGTAGCTTGGCTTATATAAGATGCACCATTCTGATCTCTGCCTCTGTTCCCACGTGGCTTTCTTCCTTTAGTCTTTGTTTGTGTGCAGATTTCCCTCTTCTTCTAGGACATCAGCCATTGGAGTAGAGCCCACCTAATCCAGTATGACCTCATCTTAAGTCAATACCTATACAAACACTCTTATCTCCAAATAAGATCACCTCACAGGTGCTGGGGGTCAGGACTACAATATGTGTTAATAGGAGGACACAGTTCAACCCACAACACTTGCAAGTTGACCCTATATTCTTACTTTTAGAGCAAGCTTCTGAATGGACACATGCAACATCAGCTTTTTGGGGCTATGTTTCTTTTTTCCTCCAGTTAGCAATTTAATCTCGTTGTGGCTTCAAAAAATGTTTTGAATTATCTAATTGTAGTAATGAAATTTATCTTTTGTAAAGTAAAGAAAGGAAAAGAAAGGAAAGTATAGGAAGAAAAGATGTAGGAATCCCTGTGCAGGGAAAGTACTTTAAAACTGCACTGAGAAGCAAGAGTTAAAAGGGCAGCCACTGCACTGAAAAGCCTGTTTACAAACGTTTATGACTTGGGTGTGAATTGACCATTCAAGCTTAGATAGCCCTGAACTGAAATGAAGCTCAGGCTGCTGACCTGTGAAAAGAAGCTGACTTACACAGAGCTCTGGCCACTTATACCCCTGATTAGAGTGTTTTAAAGGCAAGAGAAACTCTCAGAGAGCATGGATGTGGTCAACTGCTTGTTCCTTCAGTGTGTCTGTGGGCCGCCGCTGCCTGTAGCCAAGTCCAGGGTAGGTTGTGGCTTGAGAGTGTTTTTTGTTGTTGGTGCTGGGTTTGTAGTTCCAGGTATAATCACACTCTTAAGTGTGTTTGAATGAACATATATTGTGTTTCAAAAGTAGGTAGACTTTGCTAAAAGAAGATTTAGTCACGGAATACGCATCTAAGTTCAAATTCGCTCTATGAGGAATGTATGTCACTTCTGGCTAAGGGGACATTGTTGGAATATGAGCTTAAAGTTGGGGGACTTTACGTTGTTCTTCCCCTGGCTCCCTCCTTCTTTTTTGCTGGGAGTAAATTGGAGGTTTCAGTTTCATGTATTCTTCTGTTAACTAATTTTTGTAGTTCCTAGAGCATTTGGTACCACTTGTATGTCTTCAGCGGGGCTGTGCATAGGTGCAGTGGGATTCCCCGGGTTCTCAGGGGTGCTCCCGGGCGGGACGGCGGCGCAGGACGGCAGCCGAGTGGCTGACCCTGAGGCCGGATGTGTTAGGGACTCCAGCCGCAGGCACCAGCCGTTCCCTGCCCTCATGGTCTCCGTCACTTCCTGGAGTGTGTTTGGTCTCAGAAGAACTTATTTCCAGAATAGCTAAGACAATGTGTTTTACTAAACCCATTTTCTTATTTCCTTTTCAGTATCAGTGAGGAAAAAAAGCTGTATGTTGCACAAGTGCAGACAAAACCACATGTACATTTGTAATCAGACTCTCATTGCCTGTCATTTTGTTGTACTTCTGTTTTCTAGCACGTTGTTTCTGAACCTTTTTATCACGGGTGATATGATAATACAAGTGGGTTTAGTCTCATTGCGTGCTTAAGTTGTCTGTGCCCTTAGATTGCTGATTTAAACTATCCATAATAGCTTTTTTCCTTATGTAATGCAAAAAATAAATATTAACTTTTCTGCGATTTCTCTTATACTTTCCCAGGGTGCTGTTACAGAGGAAAAATTTCTCCTCTACCCTCTGAGGTTTATGCTTAGGGGTGTGAGAATTAAAGTTGACAAGAGACAAATTTGCAAAAGAAAAGACAGATTTTTTTTATTCCTGTAGGTTAAGTGGGAGTTCATGGAAAAGTGTTATTCCAGAAAGTGGTTAGGATTGGGGGCTTGTATACCAACTTAATGAGGGAGAAGCGTGCTGATGGGAAAACAAGTGACTTTTAGGAGAGACAAACGGGGCTCAAACGGGGCTGTAGGAAAACAGGTGGGAGACAGGATGGTTTTGTGACTGTGTCTGTTTATGTGCGAGTTTCTTCTCTGGAGTGGTAGGAGCCCATCTTCCCTGGCTGGAAGAAAGAATTTCTATCCTAAAGGAGCAGAATTAAGACAACGGAGCTCTTCTGGGAGGCCGTGCTTTTAGGCAGGTGAAGGTGTTCTGGGCAAAAGCTCATTCAATACCTCCAGCTCAAAACAGTTCTTAAGCCAAAGCGGTGTATTCTGGGCCCCTTCAGTGGTGGCTGGAAATAAAGACAGCATCCCGGGCAGTAAGAGTCGGGAGGCAGTAAGGTCATTGAAGACCGCTAGAACCCATTTTCCTTTGAGCAAAGTGGGCAAATTCTGTGGTATAGTGGGAACAGAAATTACCAGGCCCACATCTCAGTGTCTCTCTTGCTGCTAATTGGCCGTGTGACCCTGAGCAAGTCACTTTACTTCTCTAGGTCACAGTTTTTCTAATTTGAAAAATTATGGGCACAGAGTGGAGTATCTGTAAATCCTCTCATGCTTCCTTTGCTCTTCATAACACTTCTCATGGTATGTGATATTAGGGAATGCTTAGATACATGAGATTGGAAGTTTCAGGATCTGCATTTCAGGTCTCTGTTGCCATTCATTGGCAAGAGGTTGGATTTCTCTCTCTCACAGGCCGTGCTCATGGGCAGGGCTGGCCTGATCTGCCAGCAGATGCCATCTCTAAGCAGCGTGGCTTGCTCTGCCTGCCCTGCAATCACATGACATTTCTGGTTAATTTAGTTCTCTTCCAGTGTCTGGTTCTGTTTTTATTGTATTTTTAAATAATGTATAGTGGGTGGAAGAGCTGAGTACCCCGGCTCCCAGGCCTGTGGCGGGTGGCTCACAAACTTTGGCTGACCTCTCTCCCTGCTCCCCACATAGAGCTCTGAGACCAGACTTGGAGGGGTCTGCCGAGATAGAGGTTATCTTCAGGCAGGGCTGATCAGGGCTGGTAATTCTATGGCAGTGCTTTCTAAGAGCCATAGTTAACTCTAGCTGATAAGGGCTATCTTACCAGTATAGTATTTGATTCTCACTAGGACCTGTTTTTTTCCCCCAGTGAACAGTTACAGAATCAAACTCACAGAAGTTAAGTAACTTGACTGAGGTTACGAAGCTAGCTAGGGGCCCAACCTGACTTACACAGAAATCAGCTCATTTTCAAACCTCGTGGCTTTTTTTCTAGTATGTTGCATTGCCCCTAGAAAGTTATTTGAAAAATTAGAGCATATTGCCTAATTTAATATCATAGACTCTCCAGCTGTGGTATTGTCTACCAGGGGTGTCCAACCTTTTGGCGTCCCTGGGCCACACTAAAGGAAGAAGAGTTGTCTTGAGCCACATGTTAAACACGTTGTGACACATGATCGCAAAAACAATCTCATAATACTTTAAGTAAATTTACGATTTTGTGTTGAACTGCATTCATAGCCATCCTGGATACACGCTGCCCATGGGCCACAGGTTGGACACCCCTGGCTCTAGTCTGAAATCTGAGATCCTGAAAGGTCAGCTGTGACTTGTCCAAGCTCGTACAGCTAGTTAGTAGCCCCATCTGGTTCTCTGAATCCTAGTTCAGTGCTCTCCCCTCCTCCACATCAGTGAGTGTCAGGCCCTAGCAACCTAGACCTAATCTTCTGAAAGCACCTTCTATTTTTGAACATTATTGCAAGACAAAACCGTAGAGTAGCATTACACATTTATTCGTCTACTGGCAGACCTGCCTTTCCCCGTGTTATTGTTGTGCTTATTTTGAGTGACACCGCTACCTTACTTTTTATTAACTCCTAATGGTGCTGATTTTTAAAATATATCGGTCATCAAACATCACTATTAGAATTGGTCTTAATTCGACCTCCAATTAAAGGTAGGTTTGCTTATTTTAATCCACATATTTTGTCTGTTACACACACGCACACACAAAAAAACTTTTAAAAACAAGTAAATCTAGAAAGCCTTTGTGGCAGAGCTGAGGGAGGGTGGAAGGGAATGTATATCTTTTTTTTTTTTAATACCTTCCTGGATTTTGGTGCTCACCTAAATTGTTCGAATTTGAAAAGGTTTTTACTGAGGAATCCTGGAGGCGGGGCTCATCCCTGGAGGAAGAAAGGACAGAGCCTCAGAGGATCTCCATCTCCAGGAGGAGGTGGGGCTCTGGGAGAAGGTCAAGGCCTCGCCCACTCTCAGACTATGGCCAGTTGGCCAGCCGAAGCCTGTCTATTCCTGAAGACTCCATTGCTGTGGACCCCCAGAAGGAGGACGTGATGGACAGTGGCCGCCAGCTGAGCATGGCCTCCACGGTCCCTGCAGACCAGAAGGCTGCTGTGGGCTGCCCCAAAGGAGGCCAGAGAAGACGCCCCATCTCTGTGATAGGTGGGGTCAGCTTCTATGGGAACAGCCAGACAGAAGCAATAGAGAATCTTCTAACCCAAGTAAGATCTGGTGTGCTCCCACCAAAGTCAGCAGAGCCCTCAGCTTCCTGGCTTTTGTTCTTCCTGCAAACTAAACCAGACACTTTCCTTTCTTCTTTTCTGACTCAAGGATGGTGTCATCTCAAACCTTTCTTCCTGACTTTGCAAGATGCATGTGTTAAAACTAATCATCTGACATTTGGATGCATTTTACTAATCTTCTGTCTCTGCTGGAGTAATCTTGAGTAATACGTGAAACTAGTTTGCTCTTTGTTCAGAGTCATCTGAGGTTTGAACAGGGGAGAGTAGTAGTGCATATTCAGTGAGCTTCCTGAAAGGAAAAATTTTTTAAAGAGAAAGCATCATCTATTGTTAACATGTAAAGATAAGAAGAAAATAAAGAAGTTGATTTTTTTTAGGAGATAAGGAAATAATTTTTTTTCACCATTTTCTTGCTTTTGAGTTGCAGCTTTGTAACCGCTTTGACAGTAGATTAAAATCTTAATATCATTCCCTAAGTATAATGTAGTAATTCAGCAAGTATTTATCAATTAACCAAAGAGCTCTTTGAGGAGACAAAACATTTAAATAAAGGCCCTGTTTCTGTTATTTGATGAGACTAATACCCCAGCCATGGTCCAGGGTTCACAGAACAGTACATGAGTAAGTGCCCAATTTCATATTTGAAACTTGCTAGCTGATATAACCCATAACATTCTCTTAAAAGGGAAAGTCTATACTGGTATAGGATTTTGTTTGCATTCTGCCTTTAAAGCCCAGCACAATGCCTTGTTTGTATAGCAAGCACTCAAAACCCTCTTGCTTAATTGAATTAAATTGAATTGAATTTTTAAGGTAAAAACAAAATAAGGTGAAGAATACCACAAAATTTTTTTTGTATTAAGAGGCTTTACATGCTAGGAAATAATTCTGAACTAAAGCAAACTGTAATCTCTTAATTTAAAACACAGTATAGAGAAGAACTAAAACATCTAGAAATCATTCCACTTTAAGGCATCAAAAAGGATTATAGTCAGATAACGTTCTGCACTGTAAGCTCATTTAGGGAACTAGGTGGAAAACCTAAGGAGGATATGAACCAGCATGGCCTTTGATGCAGTTATAGGGACTGTTAATATGGAAAATCAAAAGGACATAGAGCTGATTCTATAGACCAGGATACATTTGCAGAAAACTAGCTCTTCTTTTAAACAAAGCTCTATTGTCATGTTAGCTTAGGTAAACAAGAATTGTATTCCACAACTACTTAGCTGGTTCCTGCACTTGGAAGAGCAAGGAGACCGAAGTGAGCAGCTGGGCTGCAGTTGGTCGCCCTGGGCATGGTCTTTGGCACTGCTGCTGGGAACACATCTTCTTAACTTTGTGACCCTACACCTCTGTGAGAAAGCCACCACTTCCTAAATTTGCTTTTCCTCTTCTTAGCTGACACTCTGCTTTCACTGAGCATTGCCTGTTGGCATGTTGTTGACAGAGAAGATGAAATGTGAGGCTGTGAGGTAAGGGCCATGGGTTGATGCTGATTTGTTTAAACATCAGAATAATTTATTGCAATTGAGCCTCAGTGCAGCCTGAAGCTTTGATATGCTTTGGAGAAACCATGTATGTCAGTAGCTTCGAGGTGAGAATGCTGAGCTTCTTGCAGCTGTGCGTGTGAAGAGCTTGTAGGAGCTCCACTTCCTGGCATCTCTTCACAGCCTCTTGCTTTCTTTCGTAGCCAGCAGCCAGGCCTCCCGTGCCAGCTCACCAGGTGCCACCCTACAAAGCCGTGTCAGCCCGGTTCCGGCCGTTCACATTTTCCCAGAGCACCCCCATTGGGCTGGACCGCGTGGGGCGACGGCGGCAGATGAGAGCGTCCAACAGTAAGTCTCAGCGGCCCCCTGTTTGGGGTCTCCCCTTTCAGAAACTGGTGTGGAACCCTCGCTTTGACACTCTCATTAAACTGAGGTGCCCAGTGGACTGCGAACTTTTGGGCCAGGGTGTTGTCTGCCTGACAGTGAGGAAGGCTCATCTCAGGAGCTGGGCTTGTCGTCAGCTGTGCCAGGTGGGTGCTGTCTGGGTGCTCTGCATTGCCACAGTGACCCTCATGAGACACTTGCTTCTCTTACGGTGTCTGTGTGCCTCGGTGTTCCTGCGGGTTGAGATCTGACCGAGAATGGAGTCCCAGGGATTCGCCTTACCTTTTTGAAGCTCCTTCTGGGTATTTAAGATTCACAAATACTGTTTTGAACACTAAAGAAAAGTTATCTAATATAGTAGTTAATGTGTTATCATAGCACTTACTCACTTGTTGATTTAAATTAATACCGCATGTTTTGAGAATGATGTTTAAACTTCTGAAAAAGACAGTCTTCCGCTACGTGGAGGTTCATGTCAGTGCCAGCCGGCTGGGCGGACTGTGGCGCGGGCCTGGATGCACCGCACAAGAATCTCACCTGCTCTCTGCTGAGCACTTGCCGTGTGGCAGACACTGCCCTCTGTGCTCCAATGTGTTTGCTCATTTGGTCTTCTTAACTCTGTGCCATGGTGGATACTATTATTATCCTCATTTTACAGATTAAAAAAATCCAGGTATAAATAGGTAAACTGCCCTAAGTCACTCACGCATTATGTGGCAGAAATGGGACTTAAGCCCCCAGTCAAATAGAATTTTCAATAACAAGGCCCATGTTTTAACCACTGAACTACGCTGATTCGTCAGAGATGCAGCAGGCCATTAATGATACAGCTTTAACTGCCGGGCTCACTGTCTTACTCTCACAAACGAATACTACGTGGTGAGCATGGGAGTGGTGAACAGGGCGGTGGGAGGCCTGGGCCGGGTTCTGGTTCCGGCCCCGCCCCTCACCCGCCGTGCGGGCACATTCTTCCCAGGACGGCGGAGATCGAAGCTGTGCGAAGCGGGGAGGTTTAAATAAGGTTTTTTCAAAAGACTTGAGAGAGGCTAAGGGTGTTACTTGGAGAACACTTCAGTTTCAGGGAGAGGAGGGGGGAAACCAGGATGGGTCAGAGAAGGGACCAGAGAATGAAGACGTGTGGAATCAGTGGCCAAGGGAGGCGTTCTGAAGACAGCGCTAACAAGAAGGTCCCTGATAGATCTGACACAGAAATGCTTGAGAAGGATGTCCTGGGAGGGCCAAACGAAGGGTAAGAGGTCAGAGAATTAGCGAATGGTGAAGAAATGTTACCACCCTTAAGTATGTTGGCATGATATCTAACTGGCATCACACGTATTTGGAGGAATCAAGGCTAGACAGAGAGAAAAAGCAAAGAGAAATTAGATGGCAGCCCTGACAGGTGTGGTTCCGTGGGCTGGGCATCGTCCCACAAAGTGAAAGGTCACCAGTTCTGTTCCTGGCCAGGGCACATGCCTGGGTTGCCGGCCAGGTCCCAGGTTGGGGATGTATAAGAGGCAACCAATTGATCTTTCTCTCACACATTGATGTTTCTCTCCCTCTCGTTCTCTCTCTCTTCCCCTATCTCTAAAAATAAATAAAGTTGTTTTTTTTTAAAAAGAAATTAGATGGGAGTTGGAATTTGAGGAAATTTGCAAACATCTCAAGCCCAGATGTCCAACAGGGAGCCTGTTTCTACGAAACATGCCTGTGGCTTCTCCTGTCACTGGCGCCTTTTTCATTCTCTGAGGGGAGCCGTTACTGAACACCTTGGACCATTACTGCCCTCATCCATGGTCACTAGGTCCAGCCCTCCGCCTTCCCCTGCTCCTCAGGCCCCTGAGCCCGTACTCTCTGCAGCTGCCCTTCTCACATCACTTTCTTGGGCTGGGCTTTTATACGCTCTCTAGTCAGAGGTTCTGTTCCCATTCAACTCTTGCTTTGCTCTTTCCTTGCACACTTTCCTCATCATCATTGGAAGAAAGTCCTGGTTCCTTGAGTGAGTTTACAGGTTTCTCTGCAACCCCAGTCTAACGTTCCATCTGTTTCTCTCACTTCTCTTGCCCGAACTCACCACTCAGTGTTCCCGCTGTCCACTCGGGGCTCTCACACTCCCTTTGCTCTAGTTTGCCCAGCACTTCCTTCCTTTCCTTTACCGCATGTCAATGCTCTCCATCTGAAATTCGAAATTCATTCCCTGTTTACCCTTGGCAACAAAGTAAATTCCTTGTCATACTTCTGCAGAGCAGTTCAGCCGCAGGCCTCGTGTTCATTCTCTCTGATCCAGTCACCGACTTCCGGTGATGCACTGCAAGAAAGTTCTCCAAAAAGAGAGAAAAGCTGCATATACAAGATGTTCTCTGCAACATTATTTGTGATACAAAAAGTTGAGCAGTGTCAGTGTCCAGTTACAGTGGGCTATTGAGTTGAAGTCATAGATGAGTGGCTACTTCAAAACAGTTAGTTTACAACATAATTAGGAAAACAAAATGATGGCATGAAATAGGGCTGCTACAGTGAGGAACAAAACTGGAAGTAAAATTGTACGTATATTAGTTTGCTGCGGCTGCCATAACGAAGTACCGCAAACTGGGTGGCTTAAACAATAGAAATTTATTGTCTTAGTTCTGGAGGCTGGAAGTCAGGTCAGGGTGTTGGAATGGTCGATTCCTTCTGCGGGCTGTGTGGGAAACTGTCAGCCTCCATGTAAAGGTGCAAACAGTGTGGTTAGGGTGCGAGGATTGTGGATGATTTTCCCTCCAACCCGATACGCATACGAACTGCTTATTTCTGTACTTTCTGTAAGTGTTTTATTTTGTTTTGATTTTAGTGTTCTCTTCTCAAGGCAACAAATGAGTAGCTTAAGCAAAAAGAAAATTTACTGGAAGGGTGTCAGGTGGTCCGAGAATTGATAGAATGGGCGGAGAACCAACCTGGAAAGGGACGACAGTCAGGGTTGCTTCTGGGAACCAAGGAACAACAGGGAAGGAGCCAAGGAGGGACTCAGGCCTAGTGCTACCCCTGGGAATGAGTGAAGGCCAACCGCTCCTTCTGTTCTTCTGTCACTCAGTCAAGAGTCAAAGTCCCAGGATAGAGGGTTCAACTCTTCAAAGCTTACTGACGTGTCCATTGCCTGGTGGCACTGGAATTGGGAGAAGTACTGGGTGCCTCCAGGGACCCCTTGCCTTTCGTATTAGGAGGCAGGCACACGGAGGCCCTATCCCTAAGGTGGAACACAGTGGAATGGAATGGAGGTCATTCCCCCAAGGAAAATCCAGGTGGTGGTAGATATAGACAGAAATAGATTCTGGACTGGCTCTCCATTTGTGCATTCCCACATTTAATAACTATTGAATGTGTACCATGTGCCAGGTGATAGCAGTGAACAAAACAAAGCCCCTTAAGTCACTTACGTTCTATTGAGGGTGTTAATAAATTGACCAGTAACTGTATAACATGGCAGGTAGTGCTGTAAAGAAAAATAAAGCAGAGTAGAGAGTACTCATTTTTAAAAGAACATTAGTCTAACATCATGCACCTATTCCTTGTATAATTAAAAACCCTTTCCATCTCTAAAGGGAGACAACCCAAAGGCTCATCAGTTACTGCAAATACCTCCCAGTAATATTCACTACTCTACCTCTGTTGCAAGGTCTTTTTAAGTGTTATATCCATAGGTAAATTTAAACAATATACCTTATCATAACAGGAAGAGGTAGGAGAGAAAAGGAAGTAGAAAATATGATAAATGAATAGTATGTAGACAGACATAGTTTCACAAAAAGGAAATTTCTCCTGCCTCTGGTTACAAAGCCATGTGTGTCATTTTTTACTTCGCTCGCTGAGCTATCCTTGCATGCTCCCCTTGTACTTGACCTAGTACTCTTCTTTGCCAGCTTAAGTGGTCCCAACTTTACTTTGTAGGTTTCCGAGCTGTTGGTGGTCCTGTTTGCATAGAGTGGCCGTAGTCTCCTTTTTTCCCCTCTTTTAGTTAATCAGAAGTCAGTCAGTCCACAAAAATGTGTGGACTGACTCAGTCCACCATACACCAGGTACTGTTTTCACCATTTGGAATCCAGTAGAGGAAAAAACATCACAAAAAGTTTACCTTCTAGATTTAAACAGATTGAATAACTCAATCAATAGCATTATCTCAGGCACTAATGATTGCTCTGGACAAGATGAATGTGGGTAATGTGGTGGAAAGTGAATGGAGCGGGAGTGGCAGAGGGCAACTGCCTCCGAGGAGGCGACATTGCAGTGCGGGCGTGAAAGGTGAGCAGGAGGTAAAGGTCTCGGGGAAGAGGGGGCCCAGTGGAAGGAACATCAGAGGCCCACAGACAGGCAGGAACTTGATGTGTCTGAGGGTCAGCGAGAAGGCCGGAGTGACTAGAGCACAGGTAACAAGGGCCGGAGAGGAGGCCGGTGCAGTTGGGAGGCTGTCTGTGGGGAGACAGAAAGGGCCTTGCAGGTCCCAGCAAGGAGCTGGGCTATTCTAAGTGAAACAGGAAGCCGTTGCCAGCAGGAGCATGGTATACTCTGAATCACGCTTTAGAGAGGAAGGACAGTGTTGCGGGGGGAGGCAGAAGAAGGGGGCTGATTTGAAGGCCTTTGCCTTAGGCCTACTGAGAAACAGTTGTGACAGTGACCACAAAAGACATCTATGTGTTCCTTGGGTGCTCATTTTTCCAGTGCACAAGGAGGTTACCGTGGCCAGCCTTGGATCTAACCCAGTAGGGCCACCAAGCCTGTGAATTCTGGCAGCAGGTCACCTCCTTTGGGGGAATAAATTTAGTTTTGACAGAGCAGAGTTAGTGGATGGGAATGAAATAGTTTGCAAATGTATTATTAAGTAACCATAAGAAACAAGCCCTGTGTTTACTCTGTTTCTGGCTCCTTATATTTTGGCTACGGGTGAACATCTCTGTGTCAGTCAGTGAGTCAGAGCACGGCCCATCCAGGACAGC